TTTTAAAATTGCATAGAAAATTAACCAGAGTCAGTGAGAGGAGGGAGCTGGGGTCTGGGGCTAATCAAGACCACCGCAGTGGGGACTCAGCAATTCTCCTAAGGCTTTGGGCTTTTGGGGTGTTTTTTTTTTTTTTTGGTTGGTTTTTTGTGTCTTTTTTTTTTTTCATTTTTAAAAATGTGACACTATCTGGCACAGTTTCATTTCTCTCCAGCTGGATTCTTAGCACACACCTGGTTTCCCTCATCGAGCCTTCTCTAGAGTACTTGCTGCTTCGATTTTTTTCAGTGTTGTCCACAGAAAGTTGCCACTGCAGAGCCCAGCTGTCGTGGCCGGGCTTGCCAAGGGAGATTTTCTGCTGGGGCCCAAGATCAAAGCAACATCTTGCCTGGAAAGTTTGGAGCATGAGGGAGGAGGGGTGCCTCCGGGGTCAGGGCCAGTTGCACAGGTCTGAAGCTGTTTCCCAGGTGAGAGAATGGGGACATGCCTTCCCACTGTGCTCGGCTGCAAAGGGCAGCATCTATAACCACTGGGAGGATTTCAACCAGAGCTCATCTGACTATAGGATTTTTGAGTGCTAACTAAACAGTGCATATGGCATAGTACCTCATTTTGATTTGCACATACACCAGAAATATTATCACATTCACATAACAATGAAGGAAACTGGGGTCAAAGGTCACACTGTCAGTAAATGGCACAGTTCATATTTAAACCTAGAACTGAAGAAATGGCATTTCTAGGGACACATCATTGTCCCTAGACAATGACTCGTCATTTTTTAACACAAAAGGGAAATTTTAAATACTGAAAAATGAAAATTCTTAGTCCTGCTTTCTAATTCAGCTCATCCTACTTGTATTACGCATCTTCCGTGGCGTTATAGTTCATGCTGCCTCTCCATACATGTGCCGAAGCACACAGGGAGACAGAAAATGAAGAAATGAACTGTGATTTAAAATGAAGTCACTTATCACCCCTAAAGGAAAAGTGGGTGAAAGTTAAATATCCATATTTTTCTGACACCTCAGTTGTTCTCTTATTTGGGGCTGAGTATTCAGACATGATATGGCCAACTGCCCATCCCTACACCCTACAGGAGAATAGCCAGGGACAGTGTGTACGAGAGAGAGAGAGAGAGAGAGAGAGAGAGAGAGAGCTGGGGAGAGAGGGTCAAGGCCATGGGCAGGCACTACTGGCCAGTGCAAACGAAACTAAGGAAAAAGAGTGAGATAAGCTATGAACCAAGAGATGAAGAGATAACCTGGGAAGACCAGGCTTTAGGGACGCCAGGACAGGGCTCCAAAGCTGATGGCTGACTGGAACCCTCAGGGACAAAGGCTAGAACAAACATGTGAGGCCGAGCAGGAGGTACGCAGCCAGGAAGTGGGGCAGTGGTGAACTGGGAAGAAATCTGCCAGATGCTGGGTTTGGGGTTGGGAATTCCTTTCATAAGCTCCCACTGCAGCTGGGAGCAGGGCCTTGTGGAGCCAGGCACAGGCAGCTGACTCTTCCCGCACCTTAGTTCCTCTTCTTGTGCAGTGACTGCCCCTCCATCTTAAGTCTCAGAGTCTGGGCTGAGAATTAACACACCTGTGTTCTAGACTGAGCCCCACCACAGACAATCTATGTGATTTCAAAAAGTTCATACTCTCCCAGTTTTTTCATAAAAATGAAAATTATCCCTAGTGGCACCCAACTCACAGAATGAAGTGAGGGCAATATTAAATTATAGTATAGAAGTCAAAGAAGCACTCTAAATCTATACTCTGATTTTGGTTATACTGTGACCCAAAAGACTGTAGATAAGTTCGCATAATTCTCTAGGAACATAATAAAAGTTGTAATACTAACCCTTACATAGAATTCAGTGTGTTACTGTAACTTAGTATTTGTGAGATTCTTCCATAGCCATTACAACAACCTTTGGGATGGGTACTATTATTGCCCCCATCTTAAGCCAAAGCATAGAGATGTTAAGTAACTTGTCCAAGTCATGCAGTAAGTGGTAGACCTGGGTACAAGCCCAGGAAGTCTGGCTTCAGAGCTTGTTGTTCTTAAGTACTATTTGGCAGTGCCACTTGGTAAAAGATAAAAAAAAAACCCATAACCCAAGTTCCCAGGGTCCAGTAACACACTCATTGCATAAATATATTTAATTGTGAGTAAAATCCAAATGGAAAATTCTAGACTTTCAAAGCAGATAAAATGAGCTGTGGTGGGGGTCGATAACCATTCTATATATGCCAAAAAGCAGAAAATTCAAAATAAAACCAACAGCACAGAAAAACTTGAGGTAGATCCCCATTTGACAGCAAGCTTCCTAATATGTTTTAAATAAGATTCAATTTATAAGAAAGAGTGAATATTCAGAAGGTCAATAGTTCCTTGATTCAAGGTCTCTATTTATTGGAAATATGAAGTAAAAACGTAAGGAGACAGGATATCAAGGTCTCTGTGTTAGATTAATGAAATGAGCTATGCCTCTGTGTATTCACACCTGGCATAGTCCCCTCTCACAGTGGTTCTATGTTTGGTATGTGACTTGCTTTGGCCATAGGACAGCAACACACATGATGCGAGCTGGGCTTTAAAAGTGCTTGTACATCGGAACTTTGCTCTTGGAACACCCCTCCGATGTGGAGAGGCCTGTGCTAGCTTGTGGGTGACATGTAGTTCAGCCCATTGCCAGCACCAGTTCCAGTTCCAGGCCTTTGAACAAGGCCATCTCAGACCATCCGGCCCCAGCTGAGTTTCCAGATAACTGTGGCTGGCTGCCTGGGTGGCCCAAAGCAAGACTAGCAGAACTCTCATCCAAGCCGTGCCCAAGTAGCTGACCCCATAGTCTTATAAACCAATGAAATGTTTGGTTTTAAAAGCGACTCACTGTTGGGGATTATTATGCAGCAAAACTAACTGATAGAGCCCAAGTCTAAGACATTTCACAGAGTAGAAACAACAATATGGAATTGTGTAATGGTTGGAGAGCCTGAGGTACTGTTACACGTAGGTAGGAAAGTCAGTCAGCCAAAAAGGTGGAGTCAAAATTGTTAGGTTAAGAGAATGACATATATCATTACTGGTGCTTTTACCTGCTTTTCATTCTATGAATTTTGGGTCAAGTATAAAGGGAAAGTAAGCCAGTTCTCATGATCATACTGACAGCCTGGAGGAGAAAGAAGAGCCATGTTGCATCCTGAGAGGGCCAACCATAATCTCTTGTATCTACTGATTACAAAGCACATACAACAACACAGTGACAGGAGTGATCAGCTTGGAACCTACACCTTGCCTTCCGCCTCGGTCCCTCTCAGGCCATACCATTACTTGCTGGGCATTATTGCTATAGATTGGAGAAGATGAGGCATGGAGCAGGGAAAGAACTCAGCCAGAGACAAAGAAAATCTGAATTATAGAGCTAAGAGGCCCGCTAGTCTCTGGTAACTGCAGATCATCTGAGAATAAAACCATGATCCAATTCAACTTATTCCTATAAAAATGATTAACAGAGGCTCTTAGAGGATGACTTGTCCAAGGCCACATGGCTAAGCATGTGCTGACCATGAACACATGTTCATGAACTCTAATACTCGACAGTGATGCGGGACACAGGATATGAGCACTATGGCTCAAGGAAGGAATTGTATCATCCAATCTAGTCTAATATTCCTTCCGTTCTTGATCAATTTGAGAATATTGTCCCACTGATCACCTTACACAGCCAAGGAAGCCTTAAGACACACTGACTATAACACTTTTTTAAACAGTGACTAGGAAACTTAGTTGACTGGAGGATAGGAAATGGAAAAATCCATCAACATTTCATATGATGAAGACTGATATTTACCTATAGGTAATCTCATTCTCCTTCTATTAAAGTGCCAATTAATAATGACCAGAAGTAATATATTTTACAGAATAAGGAAAATATAAACTTATGACTTGAAGTATAAACAGTGGGTAATAAATGTTGACATATGCATATAGATTAAACTTCACATGCATATCTGGTTTTATATCATACTCTAGGGAAAATGCCCTGATTCCTTTTCTATTTCTAACTTGCTTTTCAGCTGT